TTAGAATTGTCAATTTATATTAAATAATAAATTATTTTCTCTCTTACATTTGAAATCTTCTAAAGTAACTATTTTTGATAAAGAAAAATGAAGGCTTCTCCATCCCTCGTAAAAGTCAATTTCTGTCAAGAAATCACGATTTAAAAAAAAACGGAAAATGTTTTTTACTTTTTCTCGATTAGAGCGCCATTTTGTAAACGTATTTCCAGTAATCTGAACTTATCAGGATTTTTCTATGCTTGAAAAATAAGATATATATACCATCCTCAAATCATACGAAATTGAGTTGAAAATTTTACGCGATTTCAAAGTACTTGCTCCTAACATCATGTTTTGAGAATAACAATAACTAATATTGTTTTATCTAATCTGATATTTAAAGTGTAGTTTTTTGTTATTTATCTAATGCTTAAATGACAGAGTATAAGTTTCATCATCGTTTTATTTTCATTCGGACTTTTGCAAAGGGACTAACAATTGACCTACTTAAATAAAAATCAATATTATATCATTTCAATTCAATCGAGAAAAAGCAAATGTTAAGGATATAATTCAAGTTGTGAATAGAATCAACGAGAACATCATTTTATATTGAATAATTTTCTAGAAATCTTTCGATTATTTTATGTAACACGGATCTAAATCGAATTCTTTTTTTTTCTAAATGATGTTTTAATGAAACTAGAACCAAGTACTTGATTATAACAAAATCAGGGTTTTCTCTAAAAGAATTAATTTTAAAATTTGATATTGTACAGAAAATGCGATCTGACTAAATAATATTAGGTATGATTGATTTATTTAGATCTACAGTATACACAGAATACAATAGCTCGATGGTTCTCTTTTGTTAAAAGAAATATCTTGAGGGTGCGGGTGTGGGTGCAGTATCAATCAGAAACCCACACCCTCAAGATGAAAGATACCAAGTAATTAAGTTTGCTTAATCATTTTATTAGTAGTTTATTTAGAGTGACAAAAAAGTTGTTAAAATAATTGAATTAATAAAAAGATTAGTGGTGAAGTGGTTACAGAAATAAATCATATATAAAAAAACTAGCTATGAACTTTTAAATATAATATAAATATTTGTTAGTTAATAACAGCTTTTTCTGATGCACATCGACCAAAATTTTCTGGTGAATACATTTCTTCCGCTTTGGCTGGTGGTACTATAAATGTGCCAGCACATGTTGCACGCATAATATAACTCCATTCATATACACCTGGCCATAATAATGATCGAAATGCTTCAGCACGTTCATCTCTTAAGTTTTCATGTTCAGTCCAACCAAGAATTGAATGTGGTCGACATCCAAAATAACAATTATTTCGATTTTATCTTGTTACTGACGATTCTGTATCACCTGTTAATGTACCTTTTAATTGTGTATTTAATGGTTCACAACCAGCTGGTAAATAATCAACCAATGCTATATGATATCGTCGTTGTGTAACAGTCATTATTAATATAACTTTAACTTTCTCACCCAACTTAAATTTCCATATACCATCAGATTGTTTTTGAACATGTGAAGGATCACCGACAGCCATGTATGTTCGTTCAATTTTGAAACCATAGTTAACAGCATCTAATTGTAAGCTTGATGGAGCATAATTTAATGCAATACGATAATATAATCGACCACTGCCATCTTTCTGCATGA